ATAACGATTTTTTTAACAGTAAATACCGCCTCATAATATTTAACTCATATTTGTGAATTTTGAGAATAAATTGTTTAGTTAGAGTTTTAAAACAATAAACACAGAGTCTGGGATGAAAAGATCTTGTTTGGGTTTGAAGATTAGAGGTGGATACGGGCCGTGAATATCTATGTAACGTTGTAGACAATATCGTGCGTAATTGGGAGATTCGTGCTTTGTGTGTATTTAACACTTCTCTTCATTTTTTTTTGTATTCTTATAGTTAACTTGGCGATCCAGAAGTATGTGTACCAATATGGAGGTAACTAATTTTGTTCGCCTACTTTACATCAAGTTGTGTAAAGGGACTGAAACCTATGGACAGAGGATATATCCACTTGGCTAACACGTAATAGAACAAAATAAGGAAAATTGGAATAAAATTCTGGCCTAATCCTACCCTGGTACACATACAACCGGGGTACCGTTAATTTAACCCATATTTGCCAGTAAACTTCAAGCAGTTGAATCCGTATTCAAATTTGTGGACAATATTTCTGATATTGCGCATAATCAGAGGCTTTTTGTGTATTTGACTGTTCACTAGTTTATTATTTTATTTTGTTAAATATATAGTCCACTACTTCGACTATAGGTAGGGTTACCATATTTTTGTGACTTCAAATCGGGACGCCTCAAAAGACAACGACCCCTTAGCTGGTGATTTTGTAAACTTCACATTTTCCGATTTACTAACGTAGGCCTACACTCCTACATTTAATGCTCGGACTGTCTTCATTGACCATATTGTTATCAAAATTTCATGCGCATATTTTCTGTCCAAATATCGGGTTCAGTTCGTAAAATAAGACGTAAAATTACTAAGATGGACATGCAATGCCAGCTAGACGTATTACAGTCTTAAAAACGTGTTAGTCGCTTCTTATTCTTCTACTAAAATCAATTTGAGATTTGGGTCGTGGTGTGTTCGCCTGGTGAATAGAGTCTTGGATCTGACCTTGGTGATATCGCAGATAAAAGCTCAAACCTGTCACGTCGTCCAGAATCTGATAAATTAGGTCAGTCATTTCGAACCAGAAAAACTCCAGAAGGGTCTTTTCAGAAATAGCAGTTTTGTATGTAACAGTGACTGCGTTTACAAATTCTCACAGGGAGTTGTACATGAAAACGCTGTATATAAAAAAAGCTAGCATTGTAAACTTCCTATCGCGTTGTTGAACTGGCAATATTTTTGTTTCAAAAAAATATTAAAAAACGCAGGCGTAATGGGATCCATTATTGACATAACAGCAAGTTATTTGCACCTGGTCGCCACCCAAACTAATGCGCAAGGTTTGAATATGGGTCACGTGATGAGGGCACGGGTCACGTGACCTGAAGTCTGCTTGGTGTCTTTGTCTTTAAAAATAATATTTGTGACAAAATAAAAAGATTTGTCAAATCATCATCACGTCATAGTAATCTTGTGACTTTGGCATCAATGTCGCTTGACTTGTGCTTTTGTTCCAACTTCCAAGTAATATTGTTGAAAATATGAATTTGAGCGTTTTGTATGAATTTAGCATTTATCTCTGAGCGAAGATGCTCCGTGCGGTTGAGTAAATTCTTTCTCAAGAGCCGTTTAACCCCGAATCCCGCAAAGATGGAATCTGATATCTCGTTGCGTCGTTAACCCCTGTGTTGTGGAATTCTTTGTCTGGGTGATTTATATTACTGAAAATATGAGTTTATACAATTCGTGCTATAAACGGCGTTCCCGAAGTATGTGAACCAAGATGGCGGACACAGGAACGTAGTCTGTGTACTAGGTTAGGGTTAGGACATAATTTTATTCAATTTTTTCTTATTTTAGTTCTATTACGAGTTCGGAGACTAGCCAAGTGACTCCCGTAGTATTTGTACTTGAAATTATGGCCTAACCCTAACCTGGTACACATACTACGTCCGCCATCTTGGTTCACATACTTCTGGAGTTTTCTTCTAAACCGTATAACTATTAACTGATGCGCAATGCACTATCGTGATTATTCAGTTTCAGTAGCGTTTGATATTCCAGTATTTCTTTGAAAAGAATCACACAATGCGAGAAAAATAATGTTTGGTCCACTCTCGAAACTTTTACGTTTCAACCACAAATGGTAGCTTAAAATTTTGAGTACATAAAATATGAGCTGGATTGTCTCGGCGTAATCAGTGGTGCGATAGCGAGTTTGTTTTTTTGAATGTGTGTTATTTAACGCACAGTATCTCGTGTGTGTAGTTTTCGTGAATTTCTATTACAATTAAAATTTCATTAGTTTTTAGCATAGCTTAACCGGACTTCTCATATTTTAAGCAGTGTTTGTTTAAGATTTTTATTTCTTTTAATACACTTTCATACCGGCATGTCCACCGTAAGTTGCGCGAAACACGTCAGAGTTCCCTTACACAGCTTAACTAATTGCTTTATAAACATATCTGATCAAAGTTACAATGGTTCCCAACCTTTCAAGGCTAGTGGCCCCTTTCCGATGGCTTTTAGCACTCATGACCCCCCCCCCCCCCCCCCCCCCCCCCCTTGTTTATCATTCCAGTATTTATAGCGTTATTTTGATTGATAGATTATGAATCCCATTATGTTCAAACAATTCGTGTTCAACAAAATGAAAACACCCTGTGAAATAACCTTAAAGTCAAGCAATGAAACTGGGAAGAAAAATGAGTTAGCTTGTAAAGTGTAAAGTAAAATTCGTTTTTCGCCTAGCATTGTGCCCTCCTCGAACTGCTCTTAGCCCCCCGATTGGAAGCCGCTGCTATATATATTTATGACGTGGCCTTACACGCCGGTAGATTACATTTCAGCTGAATTTCGTGAATATTCCAGTCATAACTTTATTGTTTATAAATCTATTTTCCGGTTCCATATAAAAGTATTTCCTGCTCTTTGGCTCGTTTTGTAAATAAACTTGCGCAATTAGCTCAATTTGGTTCTTCTTGTTTGTGGAGGGTCAAGTGGGGGCGGTTAGCGCTGAACATGAAACTTTTACTAATAAAGTCGGGCAGTAATTTCGAAATTCTTTTCTACGTTTAACCGAGCATGATCGTCTGTTTTACCGTTGATGTATGTGATTTAACAATCTGATGAAAAAAAATTTTTGATACCGAAACAGAAACAATCCTGCCGACAAAGAGTAGTATATATTCGAATATATCAATAGCTGCCAGTTTATAGCGCCCTTAATTCGGCTGATTGAAGCAATCGGCAATTTCCGATTTTTTCTCAAAATTGTGAATAAATAATCAACCGCTTCAACATTATGTAAGGTTCAACAAAGTGATTGAAAATGAATAAAAATTTCGAATATTTGTCTTTAATTTATAGTAATGTTAGTTGATCGGGTAATCGACGATGTCAAAGAATTTTCAAACAAAGGGGGGTGGCAGGAAGGTTCTGAAATTAATTTCTAATTGCCAACTTAGACTATATGAGTTCGTGGTTGCGACCGGATGCCGGAAACGTGGTATTTTACTTTTCAAATGGGGGTATGGGAAATGAGTATGCGGTTCCGATCGCCTTTCAACGACTCTATCTAAGAAATGCTGTTACAAACAATAAAAAACATATTTCAAATACCGAAACAAGATAATTCCAGCTATTCATTGTGTTTCAATGGCTACATGTCTATAGCCTTGGTTAGAATGCGTCATAAAAAAAACCGACAGAAAAGTTCTTTGCGTTTTTTTCCACATCAAAACAAAATGGCGTCTCATTGCGTGTGATTTTTGGCGTTTTATGAGGAGAGCAAACAAACAAAAATCCTAATCCCAGAAAATTAAACTAAACTAATTTTAACTAAAAATCACTAAGTATTTGCTATTTGTGTTATGATTTGGCTTGTTTTCTGTTTCGGTCCCACAATAATCTTTCATCTATTTCATATTGGGTGTCGTCACAAACGACGCAGTGCAATGTTTCCAGCCCGTCAAACTTCCTGCTAAAAATCTGGAAAATAACACGAATTGTTTTACGGTTGACGCTATTATGATAATCATAAAACGCAAATCAAAACATCACAATGGAAATTGGAAAACTACTCATTGTTTAAAATTCCTCAAAATGTTCGTAGCAAATAAAACCAGCTAAGTGGTCGCATTTTTACCCTCAAGTAGAAAAACGTGTTAAAATATATCCAAATTATTCCTTACTTCACGTGCTTACCTCGGTGATAAATAGAAATCTCCTGAATATATTCAATATACCAAACCCTTCATTTTATAATTGAAATGTGAGAAAGCATTTTCTTTAACATACATAGCAATTTTTCGTAGCTTTGAGCGCTTCTTAGACTCACAAAACTCTTGAAAAGGGATGGCGGAATCGAGTCCGGATTCGATTACAGAATCGAGTCCGATGCATTAGAATCGATTCTCAAGGTTAAATCTTGGATTTCAAACAATGTGTAACGTTGCGTGGCAATTCCTTCACATATCTGTATGAACTGCTTTACTGCTATGTTGAATTGCTACGACGCCGCAAGCTTCACTATATATATATATATATATTTCGCTAGAAGGCTTTTACGTTTATTTATTTCTAAAATCTCTGAGGGATTCCTCTTATTTTGTGCCATTCAGTCTCCTGTGACAGATTGAATACCCATACTACTTAGTTTTGGCCTCCTTGTCCGTCCATATGTTGAAACATCGCTCTCTGGTTTGATTTCATATGGTATTGCTTAGGTAGGTATGTTTTTTCGGAAAGATATTTCAAGGAATCTGAATCGAAAATTTAGGAATCGGATAAGAATCGAATACTTGAAAGTAATCATTCTTAGCATCCCTACGTCTTGAACAACCATGCTTTCCGGCCTCCGACTCATGACTCATGGCTGTCACGGTCTAACTTGGCAATTAGAGATTTCTGACCTCGCTTTGAAAATTTCTGGATACGGCCCTGCTATAGATAATCGAGAAAATTTTTGACATTCTTTTTCTTCATTCGTTATGTATTTGTTTTGTAGGCACAATCGGAGCTGTCCCTTCGTTCAAAACAAGTGGGGTCTTCGGGGTTCAAGAGATTTACAGGATTTCAAAAAGTAAGTCAGTTTTATGATATTTAAGATGGTTCTAGGAAAACTCGCCGCAGGAAATTTCGCCGCATAGGAAAAATCGCCGCATGAAAATTTGCCGCAAAGGCATTTGGTATAGAACACAGTTGAGTTTTCGAAGTACTTTATTATTTTTAAAAGATTCGTTATTTAGGAGCTTACCCTAACCAAAAACCTAACTGTTTTTATCACAAATACTTGTTTTACGGCGAAATGCTCTTGCGGCGATTTTTTATGAGGCTAGTTTTCCTATACAGCAAAATTTCCTGCGGCGAATTTTCCGGACCCGATTTAAGAGTAGGATTATGAATTAATTTGCCAAGGTATGACCCAATGAGCGTACCTATAACCACGGCTTACTCCGGACTCTAACTTCGAATATTTGCAATATGTTTTCCAAACTCAATAGTGAAAATTTAATAAAGAATACCTGATTGGGAGACTTTGCAAAGTTGAATAATGTTTGTCTGAGGGAGCCCGACCTTGGCCAGACGACACGTTACAAAAATATATAGGTACTCCTGAATTATGCGCACCAAGATGTCGCATAACCTGAACCCTAACCTGGTACACATTCTGAGTTCAGGTTGTGCGCCATCTTGGTGCGCATACTTCAGGAGGTTCCATACATTTGTGTTAGTGTGCAACTCTTTAATCATTTAGGAAATTTATTTACATCATGTTTACTCTTGCTACAGCATCCTCGCATTACACGCAAGCGGATTCACGCAAGCGAAGGCATAGAGCAGTGGTTCCCAACTTTATGTCTTGTGACCCCTTTCTGGGGGCAATGAAACTAGGAAGAAAGGGAAGTTTTCTTGTCAAGTGAAAAGTAAAATCAATTTTGCGCCTAGCATTGTGGCCCCAACTTCTCTGTGGCCCATTTGGGGTCCACGGGTTTGGAAACCCCCTGGCATAGTGGGAAGATAAGTAGTTGGTTCGGTACACTTACAATGCCAAACTTTGACCCCGACAGCACAGCCGTGATTCAAACCCGCGAGCAAAAGCATAGCAAACTACTAACGCTTCACCGAATTACGAAAAATATTTTTATTTACGCAGCGCCTATCATATCCGGGGACGTTCACAACCTTCCCATCAATCACAGCATTGAGAGTTCGTCGCCATATTACTACTCCCACCATCATGAAGGAAGAATGCCACAGAGCCCTCTAGTGATGAGACAACCTTCGTCGTAAGTATTTTAAATATTGTATTAATATGAGATGACCAATGCCTATAAGACGGAACAAGTTTAAAGCAATAGTTATTTCTAAAGACATTAGTTATACGGAATTCACGGTACTCCCGAAGTATGTGAACCAATATGGCGGACACTGGAAGGTAGTATGTGTACCAGGTTAGGGTTAGGCCATAATTTTAGATACAAATACTACGGGAGTCACTTGGCTTGTCCCCGAACTAGTAATAGAACCAAATAAGGAAAATTGGAATTATTTTATGGCCTAATCTAACCTGGTACACATACTACATTGTAATGTCCGCCATCTTTGTTCACATACTTCGGGTATACTTAATTCACTAATTCATAGCTGTTTTTCTGATCGAGTTGACTTGAACTCATTCAAGTATTAATCGGTACTTACTAACAATCGCAATCTCACATTGCAATGCGCAATCTCACATTGTAAATGCACAAACTCCACATCCGTCCGGATTTTATCAACATAGGCAAAACCTTTTTTGCTAGGGGGTTGAATAAATTGAGCACTCTACTTCTCCTCTCCTCCGTACAGAGCCTTGTTCTGAGCGGAACGAGTCTCAAAAATATCCCCCCCCCCCCCCCCCCCCCCAACAGAGGAACCGTCGACATTCTTGTCCAGCGTGTAAGTAAATTAAACACTCTCCATAGAACCATACAGTTTATGACATCGTAAGTTTTTTTGACGTCATAAGATGTGACTGATTTGAGGGTTAATGACGTCATATGCGAGTCGTTTCAAAATAAAACGGAATTTTTTTATCATATATCAGTCGCTTTGAAATGAATGAGTAAATTACTTTTGATTTGCTTGCTATGAATGAAATTCGGAACATTGATGACGTCATATTAGATCAGATTCGACTCGGTAAAACAGATATATTTTCTCTCTAAATAGGAAGACATTTGTCTAATAAGCGCTTGAAATCTTCAGATAGACTTCGTATGACGTCATAAGATATGACGCAATAAAGGTTTGATGACATCATATGTGAGTTATTTGAAACAAAGCAAAAAATTATTATTGACTAGCTCAATGGAAATCAGTACATTGATGACGTCATATTTGTGACGTCAATTTAGGTATGTTTTGATTGAAATTCTCAGTAAAACTTTTTCTATTTACAGGGGAAGTCATTCATCGAATAAGCGCTTGAAATCGTCGGGCAGCAGTATGTCGACTGAAGATCAGAATGGATTGGAGAGCGGTGGAGAGAATGAAAATGAATCGTCGTTCTACAGCAGGCAACCCGGGTCCCATCATAGCTGGCATGGGTCGGATATGGATCAAGGTAGGGTGTGGTTACCGATTACCGTTGATTAGTGGTGTACCGTTAAAAAGTTTATGTCGATCAAAGTAAAGTATGCCGAGTGTTAATCATTATCGACTAGCGTCAGTAATTACCGATTGTGTTATAGTCAGAACAGTTTAACTGGTGGTTGGTGGCGTATCGGTTGAATAATTTGGTACATACCAATCCATCGCTCAGTTAGTGGTGTATCGTTAGAATATTTTGGTACATTTTCACGGTGTACCAGAAAAAAAAAGTATGGTCGATGCCAACCTAACGGTTGGTTGCCGGGTGAATATTTAGGTATTGTCAGAATTGTTTAACTTCAATATTCGAAAAAGAATGGTATTCAAAACATAGATATTTAAAAACAAATATAACTTAACTGTCATCGTCATCAACCGATATTTTTATGATGAAATTATTAAAAAAATGTGGGATAAAAAATGACGTAATTTTTATCATTGTTTCGTGTCTCCAGTTACGTCATCAGTCGATATTAGGATAATTTAAATTATTCCAATTTTCAATAAAATGTAGCTAGTGACGTCATCAGTTCAACTTTTGCATGAAGAATACATACCGTGTTTCGCCGAAAATAGGACAGGGTCTTTACGAAAAACAACACTAGGGCTTATCTTTGGGAGATTTATTTTATTTTCATTTATCAAAAACAAAACTACAAAGTACAGAATTACGAGATTTTCAAATATACAAAATATGAAAATTGATAAATCTGATTCTAGACTTTCTATGTTTCAGCAACAACAAGTCCACTTCAATCTCCAACGAATAAAACTCCCAGAAATTCAAATGATCATCCGGGAACGAACGTTTCATCTGCAGGTGGGTTTAGTATGAGCTGTGCGTTTCAGAATATTTTGCACCAACACCCTTACTCTTCTTTCCAAGTTTTAAATGCATTCGTGTATTTCCCTGGGCTTTCCACACTTCGATAATATGTTTGAGTCGTCTCATACTTTCCACTCGCAGCAATAATACATGAGTAAGTAAAACGAGAGAGCAATGCTCAAATACATGAGCCCGGATTACTAGTAGTGCCTTTCTCTATATAGCACAGAGTTTCCCAAATTTAATGTTGGACTCTTCATTCAAAAATCGCTTGTTTACCGCCAAAATTGCCTTTGTAGTGTGATTGGACAAACGTAAACCACGTGACTGCGAATATATCCTCGGTAGTTACTGTACTGAAGGTATATTTCTACTGGGTGAAGATGTGTCTTTTTAAAAAGTTGCTAAACTGTGTCCTTCTAATTATTAACATCATGTGATAATATATTTTAAGGCCCATTTGAAGTTATGTAAAGATTAATTCTCATTAAATCTCAAGATAAATATAATATACCCCTTGAAAAGTCGAAATGTACCCCTGGCGATTCATGTTCCCAGTTTGAAAACCCCTGGTCTGGCACTAAAAATTTAGAATTAATTGAATCATTGAATGCGGAGAAAAGCGATTTTTAACAACAACAACGAGAATAACAACACTGATAGCAACAAATTTGCAAAAAACAGTTCACTTTCCTTTCAAAAAGTTTATATCAACTTAAAATTTGACGAGTTTTAACAAATTTCAATAGTTAATATAAACTCATTGTGTTAAATCATAATATTTCAGGTGGAAATTCGGGAATGCCCCCTCCCCATACACCCGGAGTTTCAACAAGCTCAACCCCTACGTCATCTTTCCCAAGACTGCAAGGTAAGAACAGTAAGTCACTCTCGACAGTGGTTGCCCTCAATTCATCTACCCTACTGCTCTATAAGTAGGGCTGCCATCGATATAAACCCCAAAATAAGGACATCAGGAAAACATAATATTAGAATAACAAAGAACGAGATGTAATGAACAAAATGCATTCATGCCAGCGCGACTCGTGTCTAATCATACTTTGCACTAGGAAGGATTTGCTCCAGCGGTTCTTTATTCTTAGAAATTATCTGTTCCATCTCACATTTAAGTTGTATTTTGATTCAAGTTACACGAACAGGTTTTGGCCGGTAGGGTAACGTTTTGTCACTGTGTCAATTAATTTGCTGTTATTACGTAATGAATGCGCGTAGCAATTAATGAAGTTGGAAAATATCATTTCTAGCAAATCAGTCTTTCGAATTGACTAATCTAAGTGCCTGGTATTAGAACTTCTAGCCATAAAATAAGGACAAAAATAAAGTAAAAATAAGAGCGTTTCACAGAAATAAGGACAAATATATTTTCTAAGACAAAGACTTTCAAAATAAGGACAAATCTTAGAAAAAAGGGACGTTATGATAGCCCCGTCTTTGAGGCTGAGAAACGCTGAATTAAAGCATAGTTCCACTGAGAGCTATGACTTCATCTATAGAGCTATGAATTATTTCCCATCTTTTCTGTTCGCCCTGAAGCAAAGACTATATATATATATGATATGTGGATCGGATTTCCATTTACAATTTCGAAAAAATATTCTTCACTTTGACTACTAGTACAGAAAATCACACTTCGACTAACAAAAGGTGTTGTGTCAAAAATTCTGGTTTTTATTGACTTCGGACTTCGGTGTGTTTCAGACTCCGCTCTATGGTTTTGCGTGTCTAAATAGTTCGAAAAAAATCTTGTAATAAAATCTTCGTAAAATCTTGTAATAAAAATCCTTCACCAATAATAATATTTTTATTCTCACAGCAGGTTCATGGCACCCAGTACTGCAGCAGCCCCATGCCTTTCCGTACCCCCATACCCAAGCTTTCGGTCACCCAAGTCAGGACTTAAAAGATTTTGCTCAGTTCGCTTGTTTAAGTGCAGAAGCCGCAAAACATCATCCTAGTCAGGTAAGAACGCCATTAGGTGGCGATATATATATTTTTAGTGAGGGAGTATAAAATTATATGACGTCATACTTACTTACGTCATTGGGATTAGAATAATTATAATAGTAAATTGGGGTGGGGAGCAGATATAAAAATTATGTGACGTCATACTCGATGACATCATAGAAATAACATTTCCTCAGTTTGAAATACTTAGTGCAGAGGTGGCGAAACATCCCCCTAGTCAGGTAAGGATTCCAGTAGGGAGTGACATATATTTTTTTTTTGAGGGGGTGAAATTCTGTGGCGTCATACTTGATGACGTCACTAACATTATAAGAGATTGTTACACAGGTTGCTTGCCTAAATGTAGAGGATCCTCTGTCGCGAATTGCAGTCGGAGGCGACATACCTATTTTGGTGAGGGGGGTGTAAATCATGTGACGTCACATTTGCTCAGATTGTTTGCCTGACTGCGAAAGTTGCAAAATATCACCCACGTCAGATAAGAATTCCAGTAGGTGGCGATATATCTAGATTTTTGGTAGGAGGGTTCAAATTATCCGACGCAATTTGAATTTAAAGCGTTTTTCGCTCAAGTTCGACTATTTACATTACTCTCTCAACACAGTTACTCAGCTATCATCCTTCTTCCGGAGTCAGAGGTCATGACGGGTCACAGGAGAGTTCAAGATGGCCGACGACGCAGGGTTCCTTGGACGAGACGTCAGCTGTGGATTTCCATCCTATGATACCGAACGACAGGATTCAAGGTATATTTTCGGGGGTGGGGAAGGGGAATTGTTTGGAGATGAGTCTCATTTACTTCTGAGTTAGTGCACATAACTTCGCTCAGAGATGAGTCTTCTTTACTTCTGAGTGAGTGCCCGTAACTTTGCTCAGTGATGAGTCTTCTTTACTTCTGAGTGAGTGCCCGTAACATCACTTAGAGATGAGTCTTCTTTTCTTCTGAGTAATTGCCGTAACTTTACTCAGAGATGAGTCGCATTTACTTCCGAGTGAGTGCCTGTAATTCTACTCGAAGATGGGTCACCTTTACTTCTGAGTGACTGCATAAAACTTTACTCAGAGATGAGTCTCTTTGACTTCCGAGTGAGTGCGCATAACTTTGCTCAGAGATGAATCTTCTTTACTTCCGAGTGAGTGCCTGTAATTCTACTCGAAGATGGGTCAACTTTACTTCTGAGTGACTGCACAAAACTTTACTCAGAGGTGAGTCTCCTTTACTTCTGAGTGACTGCACAGAACTTTACTCAGAGGTGAGTCTCTTTAACTTCTGAATGAGTGCGCGTGACTTTGTTCCTTGAATAAAAATCACACATTATTTCAACATTTCAGGCGTAGTACCAGGACTGAATCCAGACGAGACCTTGGTTGCAGAGGAAAGACTTTTCCCGCCTATTCCACCTGGGGGAATGATGGACAACTCATCAGCCAATGGAAGCGCAGCTTCAGCGGCTCAAGCCCCACCTATGTCTAACGACAAATGAAAAGACGTTATGCGTGAATAAATTCGCGCCAAAAAATTTAAAAAACGTGGGGAGGAAAAGGGGAGGCACAAAAACTGGATCGGTCTTGCCGTCAAGAAAATTATTTTAAAAAAATGGCTGCACTGGCCATTTGAAGTAATGCCAGTTGAATCATTAGAGTCTGTTGACCCTCAGTGGTAAATTTTCTGTTTCTCTTCCGGGTAAATGGCCAATTAATGACTAACGAGTTACATGATATTGGTCAAGCAACGCTGAACATTGTCAAAATAAGCCAACATGTACTTTTATATTATCCTATTCATTGAAGTTAACCTCCAGCGTTAAATTTCCTGCTTTTTATTCCGGATAACACGTCGATGTCAAAGGTCAGAGCTATTTTTCCTCTGCTTTAATCACAAATGATCAAGCGTTGTTCGTAGATAAACCGTACCTGGAAAGCACGTTTCGTACTTAGCCCAAACTTGGCCATATATATTTCATCAAAACTTTGAGACTGATTGACAGTATTTATGTTCAAAGGTTGGTACTCCCGAATGTAAAAATGTGAACCAATGTTCAGGTGCAATTACTACCAGAGTCACATGGCTAGTCGCTGAACTCGTAATAGAACTAAAATAAAGAAAATCGCAAGGAAATTATGGCCTAGCCCTAACCTGGTACACTTACTACGTTTCGGTGTCCGCCATCTTGGTTCACATACTTCGGGAGTACTCACATACTCCAAGCCAAAATGACCAAACACACCAAATTGTGTTTTTTGGCCAACCGATCCAAAATGGTTTATACAACGCCTTTACACGTCTTATACTCTGACCAATGTGCAAGCAGTCACTGATATGCCATTTAGCTACTATAATTTACAAAAACTCGAGCAATTGCGGTCCCCCCTCCCCCTAAAAAAAGAAAACCCAATCGAATCGTCGCCATTTCAAATGAATTATATCTTTCTGAACTCTAAATTATATTTTAAACGAACTCAATTGTTAAACCTTTTTTCCGTTTTATCAGAATTTTCATCGAATATATTCGGTTCGATTCTAAATTCTAGAACTTTGCTACTAACTGATCACACAAAGTGGAAAGTTCAATATTTTAATCATTTTTAAAATTTTATCTCTGTTATATTCTTATTTTTTGACTCGTTGTTTTATCTATAGATAATGAAATATGTCATAAACAGTTTTTCCGTTAACTCTTATCTACTTATCAAATATCTAGATAACAAATGTCTCGCTATCTTTGCCTTGATACCCCTTAACTTTTTATCTTGTTATCTTTGTAGATATCTCATTGCTTGTAACTTATTTATCATATCTTTGCTCAAAGCTTAATTAGATCAATTGGCGTTACCATCGCTTGGCAATGTATGATTAGAATCAGCGTCTTCTTTATTATGAATTTATTCGTATATTGCAATGACGTCATCAGCGAATGAGTGACGTCACAGATTTTACCGTTCACGAACAAACACAGTTTAGTGCCTGGCATATTATGACGTCACTAACGTGACGTAACCAATGTTCCAAATTCTATTCACAGCAATTAAATCACTAATTTTTTTGTTTGATTTTTTACAAAACGATTCACTTTTGACGTCATCAAATCTAATATGCGTCATATGTCATGACGTCATACCTGCGACGTAATACAATGTCGCTCAAATACCATCTGCCTATATATACACCGACCATAAATCTTATTTCTGTAACATTTTTCATCCCCAAAAGTTCATATCATCGATTGTTCCTTTAATTTATTGCATTTTTGCTGACTCAGCATTTTTTACTCCCATCATCCTATCATGCTGTTAAAAAACTCATAACTTAAAAAGCTTTTTAAGATTCTGAATGCACCCCCCCCCCCCTCCAAAAAAATTGCAATATTGCATTGAACAACACACATAATTTTTGCATGCTTTCGGCGCATTTTTATTATTCACGCTTGCTTTTTATTTTATTAAGCTAATTAATGTCTGATTTTGCTAGGCCGCAGATAACGGTTGATTATTTAAGTTTGGCCGTGTGTTTTCCAACCATAAGTTCCCATACCTCTTTTAGTTTGTTTGTTTTTTATTTAAATGCGCCTCCAAATACTAAGTTTCCTCATTTACCTGCAAACTGTTGAAAAATCCAGCAAATTTATTGGCATTTCATAGAAAATGGTCACTTTTTATAGTAAATTAATAAAGAGTATGTCCCGGACACTCAGAAGAAATCCATTAGAATTCAGTGGTTCTCAAACTTTTAAGCTCTTTTTAGAATTTATCAAGTCTCGCGCCTCATTTTAAAAAAATAAATAACTGACAATAAGCTACAAATAATAACAGATAGCAAAGTGAAAGTATGTTTTATTCCAAAAATACGTTGAATATAAGTAGATGAGACTTGAATATCCACAATGAAGAATATAAATATCCAAAATAAGGCGGACAAGATCAAATCTAGCAAACATTTTCATTTTAAAATTATTATTTTGTTATCAAAATTTGGTTTCTCCCGGAGCTGAAGTCGCAGTCAAAAAAAATCCTTCACTCCGGAGTCGGATCTAGATGTTATTAACCGGAGTCGGAACCTTTTGAATGATTCCGGATTTGAAATCGTTGTTTCTCTTCTGATTCACAGCAAATTTTATTTTCCAATAACACATAAATGCCGGTATTCTTGCTGATTTTTTCAACAGTCTCGATTACCTTTTTTCACATTCTTTGTTTGTTTATTTTAATCAACATAAAGCCCTCACTCCTGACATATTTTTCGTGAATTTCTTTCTGACCGTTTACCAACATTTTTTCATATCGAGGTGGTGTCCTAGGGCGTTTATTATTATTCATAATAATACACACACAACTAGTAAACGTTATAGTCTATGCCAGTGGTTCCCAACCTTTGATGACTTATAAGCACTTCCTCCCCCCTTCCCCTCCTCCCCCCCCCCCCCTGTTTATCATTACAGTAGTATTTATAATTTCATTTTAATTAGTAGATTCCAAATCCCATTATGTTTAAACTGTTCATGCTCAACAAAGTGAAATGATGAAACTGGAAAGAACGGGGAGTAGTTTTCTGGTAAATGAAATCTTAAAATCAATTTTGCGCCCAGCATTGTGGCCCCTCCCCAACTGCTTTGTCCCCCCCCCCCCTCTCCTTAGGGTTTAGGGTTGGAAACAATGGTCCATTCCAGGGTTTCCCAAACAAGGGGTCCGTAACGATATGAAAAGAGTCTCAAATATACACAAATGGAACTTAATCCTATTGAATTGCTTCAGCCTGTCAGTATTTAACGTTAGTATGTATTATTTGAAACTCATAAGTTTATTTCATCAAAAGAAACAACATACTTTCTCGTTTGTTAGACACATAAATTGGTACGACATAGGATGGGGGTTCATCAAAAACACGGGTCTATGCCATAGGTTCCCAAAGTGCTTCGTACGGAGCCCCAGGTCTCCGTGAGAAGAACCTAGGGACCCCGTGGTCTATTCGTTTACTTATTAAAATATTGACTTGGGTAATTTTTTAACTGCCCAATGAACCAATGACGGCATTAATAAAATTTAACAACGGTAGCGCCGAAACAACAAGGCGATAATTCATATATGAAACCAGGGTCCAGGCAACACTTTGAATTAGTAGCGTAGCCAGGGGAGTGGTTTTGCGGGCCGAACCCCCCTCCCCCCCTTTTGGAATTAAAAAAAAAATAAAATCACTTTCCTGTATCATAGATAGCAATTTTCTGTAGCTTGAAATGCTTTTTATACCCCAAAACTACTAAAAACACGCATATTCCAGCGTTCGATCGGACCCGGTAGCTGTTTCGATCTAACTTGCCAAAAAAAAAATCAGACCCCCCCCCCCATTGAAAATTTCTGACTACGCCTCTGCTTTAAATGTATGACAGGAAAACTTCATCTAGGGCCTTCGAGGCGATATCGGTGTTTACTCCCTATAGGTTGGACAGATTTCGCCAGCACAGTCCAGATGTTCAGTAAGTTCCCGCTCAAATAATTACATGTATATTGTTTGAACATAACCAATCACCTATCAGATTTGCCAATATTATTTCAAACTTGCCACACTTTAGAGATTTTAGTATCAGGTTTTCCTCTTTTGTTGAGCCTATGGAATGTTTCATTAAAGTTCCAACCAAAACGGTTGTAAACCCCTGGCTTGGACAGATAAACTACACCAAGGCATTTTCATTCATTGCCTTGATGATTGGACCACGTCATTTTTACTTCTTCCTAAAATAATTATTTTGAAAATCCCTTACAAATCAATTTACGGTACTCCTGAAGTATGCGCAACAAGATGTCGCACAACCTGAACCTTGACCTTGTACACAACCTGAGTTCAGGTTGTGCGCCATCTTGGTACGCATACTTCAGGAGGTCCCAATTTACATATACATAAAAGTGGGCGTGGTCCTGAACGTCTCAACCAATGAGACGTTAGAAAATTATCACGATATGTAATTTACAATATCTTATTAGGCCGTGGATACCACAGACATAATTTATATTCGTATCATGTATGGCCACGTTTAAAGTGTGTTTATTGATGAGATGTTACTGCTAGTATTATGATTTTTGTTAATAAATTCATGAATTTTTTAGAAAAAAATTTCTTATTTGTGTGACTGAAACGGAGGGGGATTACCCACAAGTGGGAGTAGGTAAAAACTAAGTTTGTTACACGTAAGATGGGGCGAGGAATTTAGGTCATTCCAATCGAGTCTTTGACTTGACGGTGTGTTGCATCGTTCTAATCGTTAGTAATACGCTCGCCACTGTGCCTCTGATAACCCTGCGTGTGTTCAGATGCTCAAATCCCGCAAGAAATAATTACGTTCGAGAGGATTCGCACAGTAGAGTGTTTCACATACCTGATGGTCGGCTTCGGCTTCCTCCGCCTTTAAGTCGATTAATCTGACACGAATAACTAGCTAACTAATCCCATGCCCGATATGGACCGGAAACCATACCATATGACTAAGCCATTTTTTGGCTTACCTTCACGGGATAAGAGCGTAGCCAGCTCAAAATATGGATAATGACATTTTTTGGTATAATGACGCAATACGACGCTAACTCGTGCCTTTTGCTCCGAACAAAGCCCCACCAGCGTCGGGATAAATATGTGCATCCTATCTCATCATCAAAGAAAAGAAATTGTAAAATGAGTAATATAAGAAATATCAAGAGAGTATCCATTACTCATAAAGGTTACAGATATATCAGTGATCTAGGATAGAATTTCTTGTTTAGCCCGTGGCAAGTAAGCCGATAAGATAAATTAGAGATACGTAATTTCGCGCGAAGTTGTCGGCATCACCGCTTATTATTATTAAAGACAAATATTATTAATTTCTACATGGTGGTCGCTAAAAAAACAAACAATTTGTCAAACAGATATTCATTTTTGCAAATGATGATTTGAAAACGAGCTTGGAACGATGTCCCACATGTTAATAGAACGCTACACGAGCTTGTTCACGAACACTGTTCTGAAGTGCGCGGATGACACTTTGAGCATCCATGAGCACAATATAACATATGCTTCTAAAAACTTTGTATGGTGTTGCCCTGTTCTTTTTTTGAATACCGTTTTTTTTATGTCTTAAATCGATTTTTACCAGATTTTGTATCCATTGTGTGCTTTTAACGTTTTTAGCGGAAGGGCGATAACTTACTTGTACGTTTATGACTTTGGCCTAAGTTATGATCGTCTTCCAGGTATCTCTGCATTCTGTTTGCCCGTTTGTTGTTCTTTTGTTTTATGGCAGAGCGATCACAATGAAAGTGATTTATTACGCAATAAGCGCGGATTAGCGTTCGCAATGTTACCAAAATGCGGAGTCGAAGTCTGGCATGTCGAATTTTCAAACTCCGCGGAGCCAAAATGCGAATTTGTCGGAATCGAAAACTAATATTGGTGATAATCGATGTCGAAATTTACAAAAAAAAATTAACTAAGAATTAGGGATGGGACGAGTCCGGCATCACAGAGATTCGACGAATCCGAGTAATAGGTCAAGGACTCGAATCGAATCTGCCGAGTCCGTGACGTCATAATAGAAAAGCAGAAAAACACGTTTTTGACCAAGCTACATGAGTACAGCATCGTGCGCTCACAAATATATATACGTCGTAGCTCATATTTTTTTCCTAATGGTTCCGCAGTTAGCTGTTGAATCATTTTAAAAATATATTTTCCTCTTTTTAGCGGCCATAATACAAACGTAAACGTGGGCCAATGTGCGCCTTG